TATCTATCAAATAGACTGATACGAGAAGAGCTCGATTACAATGCGGGTAATGAGGAGAATTCATTTCATTCATTGCATGCAGGTCTGAATATTGATCAACTCCATGCTTACAATGAAATTATTGAATCTTACGAGGGTATACATGGAGGGCTTTTCTTCGTCAATGGGAGTGGGGGAACGGGAAAGACATATTTGTGGAAGACCATCATTGCTAAATTTCGATCACAGAGAAAAATTGCGTTATCGGTTGCATCATCTGGAATTGCAGCTTTGTTGTTGCCAGGGGGTCGAACCGCATATTCACGTTTCAAGATACCAATTGAGTTGGATGATTCATCACATTGCTCCATTAATGTCAACTCAAATTTGGCAGATTTGATTCGAGAGTGTTCATTGATAATATGGGATGAGGCACCAATGATGCATCACCATGGATTTGAGGTGGTGAATAGGATATTGCAAGATATATTAAAAATTTTCTGAAAATTTCTGCCCTAATAAGTCTTTTGGGGGAAAAGTTATGCATATTAGAGGGAGATTTTAAACAAATCTTGTCTGTCGTCACCTAAAGGAAGGCATGAGGTTATTATGGAAGCTTCTCTTCATAATTCTGATTTATGGAATCAATGCAAAGTTATCCATTTGAAGATGAATATGAGATTGATCTCACGAGACTCACTTGATGAAATACGTCATTCTGCCGAATGGGTAAATATGATAGGTGAAGAAAAAGTTAAGTATCTGAAATTTAAAGATGGTGAGGAATCTGATTGGATTGAAATACCGGAGCGGTTTCTATTCAAAGATGGAGATAATAACATCAAATCTCTAATAGCATAAACATATCCCCATTTGATTGAGAGGTATAAAGACTCGACTTATTTGAAAAAACGAGCCATTTTAGCACCAAAAAATGAAGATGTTGACGAGATTAATTCCACGATGTTATCTATGCTTCTTGGTGGTATCCGGAAGTATTACAGTGTCGATACTGTAGCACCGGGTGAAGCTCAAAACTCATAACAACATTTGAACCCTCCCGAGTTGTTGAATATGATAAATCTTTCTGGATTTCCCAATCATCGTCTGGAGCTTAAAGAAGGTGCACCAATAATTCTTCTTAGGAATATCAATCAATTGTTGGGTCTTTGTAATGGAACTTGACTTATTGTTCTAAAGTTGGGTGATAAGGTTCTTGAGGCTCAAATCATCAGCGGTTCGCATGTAGGTGAGAAAGTATTAATTCCACGGATCATATTGACCACAACTCAAACGCAAACATATGTTCAGATGAAAATGAGACAATTTCCGATCAAACTGGCATTTGCGATGACAATAAACAAAATTCAGGGTCACACACTTGCTAGTGTCGGGTTATACCTACCAAATCCTATTTTTGCTCATGGTATGTTTTATGTTGCATTGTCGCGGGTGACAAATCCATCTGGATTAAAAATTGTCATCCGGAATAGAAGTGGTATCCTTTTCAATTTTACGAGGATTGTATCCAGAAGTACTTAATTGTATTCATAATTAGACTTCATTTTCTTTTCTATCTTTGATAATACCATGTAGTTAATGTTGTGCACATTTGCGATAAATTACGGCTTTATTAATTACCTGAGTTATTTTATTGTTTGATAATACTATAAATTTATTTATAACTTACAACTGGATATGTAATTATTCCGATGATGCAGATGCAATTGTTCATGGATTGAAAATTTTAATGCCAAAGTGTAGCAACATTAGTATTAAAGTTCGATTAATTAGATTATTGGATGTGCGAAATCCAAAATCTAATGTAAGAGTTTTGAAGATGTTGTTTGTTGATGCTAATGTAAGTATATATATATATTTGCAATTGCATTCCATAGTTAGATATCTACAGTTTTGATATTATTTTTTTTATTGTCATAATTTATAATTGTTTCTTACGACAATTTTCACTGCAGGATTTGTCATGCAAGGCATAGTTCATGGGATTAATATTGATTGATTCAGTTCATGTCTTACAGAAAAGGACTATTTATAATATTCATAACGCATAAGTGATAATAGCAGATAAAATATATAGATTAGTACCTCATCGTTACCAACTAATATTGCGTCATAATGTGACCATCAAAGATTCACATGATTCCGACGAAGATTTTATGCGCAAATTTCACAATATTGTCCCTCTAAATGAATTAGATTATCATGTGAATAGAGAAGACCAAGTCATTGATATATTGAACTATAAGCGTAAATATATATATATATCTATAATAGTTTGCTATCTTAAATTTATAATTTATTTTCTTACATTGTTGTGCAGATATATTCGAACTGGTTGTTTACGTGAATGATTGGTACTTATCGGAGAATGGTTATCCTATGCGTGAGATTATTTTTCTTTATACAAGGTAAATTGTTACTTTCTATTTTATTTTTTTTTTGTTTTCTTTTTTTAAAAAATATATTTTAGTACTACTTTTACTTTTGTTGCCTTTATATATATATATATATATTCTACGTAGCAAATATGCTATAGATGACGGTGAAATGCTAAAGAATATATTTCAAAAAAATATTACTCTATGGGCATGTAGTGTTATAATAAAGAATTTTAAAGGTATATAATTAACTTTCTATTATATTTTTATTTAAATTATATTGTTATCTTTACATTGATTATGTTAAATTTTAATTTTTTTTATTTACATTCTTATTATTTACAAAATTTTATAGGTACGTGTATTTACACGCATCATTATACTAAAATGTATATAAATCCACCAACGAGCTTTAGCGAAATTTTTCATAATTGGTGAGTAATTAAATTAATATTTATATCAAATATATTTTTTTTCAATCTTCTAATTGTAATTGATTTTAACTATTTTATTTAGGTTTAGGGGCGATTGTTGTGCCGAGAAGTTTGTATCATTTTTAGGTCAAAGATATTTCCAATATCATATTTATTGAAAAAATATCAAATGCCAAACGAATTCGGATACGTGACTTCAAATATCAAGATGTGGTTAGATATATAATTTTAAATATATCTTCAACTACATGTTTAAATTTTATTTAAAGTAATTACTCTATTTTTGCAGGTAAAATTTTTCCGAATGATTGTTCGTGTCCAAGAAATTGATGTTGATAGCACGTGGATCTTTTTAACTAATTTTGTATATTAAGTTTACATAAAAGCGTATGATAGTAGTGGGACAATGAAATTTAAGTTATTCGACATACATCTCAAATATATGTTCTATGTTGAAGATCCATCTGTTAAGTTTGTGACGACCCAGAAATATTTTATATATTAATTTTATATAATTTTATACTATAAAATATATTTTATATGTTTTACTTATATTTTCAGATAAATGGAAAGACAATGCTAAAAAAATTATTTGACTGCATTTATTGACCGTGCGTTCACATTCATTGTTCCGGTACCTCCAATATTTGCAAGACCCGATGCTCCATCTCCGGTGTTTCAAGTTATAAAAGTAAATTTGTGCGAAGAATATGCACACGTTAGAAAACAATCTTCATAATTATAACTCTTTTATTTTTCTATTTCTTGGTACTTTAAGATTTGATAGTAATTTATAAAAACAACTTTTATTTTAATTTTATGATTTATAAATTTATTTTGTTGCGTGTGTACTATTTTGTATAGCTTATTCTTCTTTCCTTCTTTTTTTTTTTTTTGTTTTTTTATTTATTTATTTTACTTATATTTGTATATAATTATGTTACAATATATCCGACATAACTTCACCACCGTGCATAGTACGGGATTCACACTAGTATAGATTTATGCACGGGATTCACACTAGTATAGATATATGTATAATATATGATTTGTCTTCTTGGCCGAATTTAAACTATTTGGTCAATCCGATCTACTCTTCAAATTGGGTTGTCAATCATCTTCCGATACCCAAAAATATTTGAGATTAAAAAATTTGACTAAAAGCATATATATACATTAGAATTTGACTAATTGACTATCTCAATTAATAGAATATATGCAACATCAATATTATTTCAGAATAAAATATTTTGTAATACAAATAAATAAAATATATGTATATTTATAATTTATATAAAATAATTTTATAAAAATAAAAAATTTTAAATATAAATAAAAATATTTATTTATTAAAAAAAATATAAATAAAAGAGTTTTAAATGAGTTGTATGTAAGATGATTTATATTTATTAAATATATTCTAAATGAATAGATGATACTCTCTCCGTCCCAAAAGTAAGTATCAATTTGTTTTTTAAACGTAGTTTTAAAAATATTAGTATTATATTAAGATATAGTATGAATAAAGTAGAAATGACTAAAATAACTTTATTAGTATGTGTAATATAAAGGTAATGACATTTATATAATATATTGTAAGTTGTAAGGGTATTTGTAATGTTAAGTAGATAGTCCAGTTACTAAAAAAGGAAATGAATACTTTGTTATGGGATGATTAAAATGAAAAAATGGATACTTTGTTATGAGACGGAGGGAGGAAGTATGTAATATACATGTCAAATAAAAATGCGACTAAATTAAAATGGAGGTCTCGTTTGTTTTGGTAGGAAGGAAGAACAAATTAAATACTCCTTCCGTCTCATCCCATTGAGAGGTTGTCATTTTTCATTTTTGTCCATCCCAAAACAATGTTACTATTTCTTAATTGAGTAATTGTACTATGTGCCTAACACAATAAATACCCTTCCAATTTACACTATATTACACAAATATTATTAATTTTATATTATACAATACTAATAGGGGTATTTTTGTCTTTTTCACTGTAATTTATTATAATACTTATATTACAAAATATAATTACAAAAATTAAACAGCAACCTTTCACAATTAATTTTAAAATCGGAGGGAGTAAAATTAATTTTAATTTTAAATTAAAAACAAACAAAGCCAGATAAGAAAGCAAAAAACCCTTGTACATACCACCCCACCCAACCCAACCCCTAAAAATCAAACAAATTTTTTTAGTATTGGGAAGGGAACTGAAGGCTTTTCCTCTCTCTCTCTCTCCTCACTCTGTCTGCGTCCGCCCCTCGTCTTCTCTTCGTCTCAAACCCCTCCCTTCTTGCATCTTTGCAGTTCTGTTCTGCTACTTGAATTTGAATATGGCGTCCAAGAGATCTAAATATCTACTTAACCACCACAAGTCACCTCCACAACAACAACAACCACTCCAACGATCGGACGCCGGAGCCGATTCCGATGCCAAATCCAATTCCGATTCCGATTCCGCAACCGAAGACGATGTCTCCACCCCCGTCGCCGCCGCCGCCACCGCTGCTTCGACAGTCACCCCGAAGAAACCGAGATTCACGCCGACCCTTCCGGAGCCAGGATCCGGACCCGGAGGGGACGGGTCGGAGTGCTCCTCCCCATCCGCGTCCGCCTTCATCGTTATGCCCTCTTCCACCTCCTCGCGTCCCCTCGACAAGACGAAGATGCGGAAGAGCGCCGGCGGCATGAAGAAGTTCACCGAGGAGGAGGAGATTGCGCTGCTCAAAGGTCTCGCCGCATTTTGGGCCAACGGAAGGAACAACAAGTGGACCGAGTTTCATCTCTTCATCAAAGACGATCTTCCCCGCGAATTCACTAAGATTCAGGTCTCGGAGAAGATTCGAGGCCTCAAGAGGAAGTACGACACCAATTTAGAGAAGGCTCGAGCCAATGGAGGACACCTTGACTTCCCCGACCACCATGAATCTGCTCTGTTTGAGCTTTCGAAAACACTGTGGGGAGATGAGGAACCCGCTGAAAATGGCCAGGTTGAAGAGAAGAAGCCATTAGTTAAGAAAGAGCAAAAAGCCATAGCTCCCAAGAAGATAAAGAAGAATGCTGAGGAGGAGGATAATGGAGATGAAGAGAAGAAGATACTGAAGAAGCACAAACAGCAGACGGAAGAGGAGTTCAAATTGGCGTATCCTTTGTTGTATATGTCGTTTAATGCAATGGGTTATCCCAAATTCTTCAAGAACAGCTTCCATTTGATAGATAGGGAGAAGGCACAGGAATTGGAGGAGAAGTGGAGGGAATTGAATGCCGAGGAGCTTCGTTTGGAGAACAAAAGGATTGAATTGACTAAGAGGGATTTGCTTAATCATTCCCTCTTAAGCAAGTGAAGATCAGGATCGATCCTTGTGTGCTTTGTAAACAGGTATGCTTCTTGTTTCTTGAATTGTTTGTTATATGTTATGTTTATGCCGATGATGTTTTGGTAGACGTAGTACTATGTGTTGTTGGAAGTGAATTTCAATTTTGGTGTAGTAAGTAATATGTGTTGATGGAGGTAAGTTTCAATGTTTAGTTCATGATGCACAATGCCAATGTTTTTAGTTCAACGTCTATGTTACACAAGTTATTCAAATCTTTTGCTTCTACTGCTTACGAAGATAATGTTGTACAGAGTATAGCTCATTGATTACTTAGGCTGTGCACGGCTTTGCCTGGGAGAAGAGATCGATTTTTACACTAAATTGCTCTTTTATGAAACTCTCTTATAGTTCTTGTAGTCGTAAATTTGAGAGAAAGCATATTACTATATAATAGTAGTCTCTTATACTATCTTTTTTCGTCAGCACCATGATACTTTCTCAGCATTTTTTACTGAGTTTTCTCTTCTAAATCGGAAATTTTGAACAACTGTTGGATAACTTTGTACTGAATGAGCAAAGGATCGATAATATGTGCTCTATGCTATTATTATGTTCACTAATAATCTTATGTATAGAAACATAACATAAATGGTTAAGAACATTTATTTTAACTTTGACAACTACCATTTAAGTTTTGTTTAGTCTGTAACTTTATTCAATCTTTGGTTCTCCTTTCCAAGATCTCATTTTTTTATCTGTGATATTTATATTATCGATATTTTTTATTTTAATTAATCGGTTTTATCATTGTATTCATTCTACTTGTTACAGTTGAATTTTGTGTAAGATGCTGCTGCTTGGATCATTTGTTGTGTTTTTTTCTTGGATCTGCAGTTTTGTTTATGGCTCGAAAGTACTCGGACTGATTGCACTGATGGGTGGGATGGGCTCAAATTTTGCTCTGCAACTCGGTGTATCAATTACTAGTATGACAAATATATATATTTATATATCAATTGAACCAGATCAGAATTTGGAACATATTATGATCAAGTCGGCTGAATGAATATTTACATGGCTTTGTTTGTAAAGCTTGAAAATGCTAACATATATATATATATATATATGTTGCTATATTTCTGTGTCTGAGTTATGTCAATTAAACATTATGTATGGTAGTAGATGCAGTCAATTTTGTTTGATTGTATTGGATTTTGTTATGTTTGGTAATTTTACTTTGCAAAGGAGACCATCAATGAATTACTCAAACTATTTGTAAAATTTGGCCAATGAAAATGTGATCAATTGGTTTTCTTTTTTTAATTGATATTTGTTTTTCTATTATGCTTCTTTGTAGATTTAAAATATTCCTTGATTAATTATTTAATGAGTTTGAGGTGTAGTATAGAATGATAATTAGTAAATACAAGTAAGAATTAGCGTAGGTTTGTAACTCAGAGACCGTATGTGTGTGTGAGACTGATGGACTTCTTTTTGTATCACATCCTAAATCATTATTCCAAATTAAATTACAAAATTCAAACGTAGAGTTTGTTTTTCTTTTTAGTGTTTTGATTTAGGGTTAGAAATTGGGGTTGGAATGGATAGTTTGAATTAAAATACTCTCTCCAGCTGTTTGGAGTTTTGCAATAAATTAAAAAATAATATTTTGTCCGTCCCTCATTTGTTTTTTTCACGTAGTTTTAGAAATATTAGTACTCCCTTCGTCCCGAAACTAAATATCCATTTGTCTTTTTAACGTAGTTTTAGAAATATTAGTATTATATTGGGATATAGTAGTAATAAAGTAGAAATAACTGAAATAACCTTATTAGTACGTGTGATATAAAAGTAATGGCATTTGTGTAATATATTGTAAGTTGTAAGGGTATTTGTAATGTTAGGTAGATAGTACAGTTACTATACTTTGTTATGACATGGACTAAAATGGAAAAATAGATACTTTGTCATGGGACGGAGGGAGTATTATGGAAAAATAGATATTTTGTCATGGGACGGAGGGAGAATTATATTGAGATATAGTAGGAATAAAGTAAAACTGACTAAAATAACCTTATTAGTATATGTGACATAAAGGTAATGACATTTGTGTAATATATTGTAAGTTGTAAGGGTATTTGTAATGTTAAATAGATAATAGAGTTACTAAAAAAGAAATGAATACTTTGTTACAAACTAAAATAGAAAAATGGATACTTATTTTATTAATTAGTGACATTTTTTGCTTTTGACTTTATCTAAAAAATAAATGTACCGTAAGTATGTGTAATTGTATGTTTATAATTTAAATAAAAGATAATGGTATATTAATATGTTTTGGAAAAGCTTATGTATTTTTTTTTTTTTTTTTTTTTTTGTTAAAAGACACACTATAAATGATTTATTTTAAAAGAAAAAAAATTTAATATCTAATTCAATCTAAAGTAATGGTTAGATTTACATAGACAATACTGCGAATGCTTGAAATTATAGTGAATGCTAGAGAGATTTTAGATTAAATCAATTTATGTACTGGTTTATAGTAAAAGGGAAAGTACATATATAGTTCAAGATTGAATATTCAATGGGTGTGATTTTATAGATTAAAAAATAAAAATTCAATATAAGCTTAAGATATTAGTTTAATTAATTTTTGATCTGCAAACAATCAAACTCACTCAACATAAAATTAATACTTTTTTGTTTTTGGTTATTCTTATTATAAAATATGGAGAATCCTCAAAAATATTAATATATCATAATTCCTCTGTTATTCAAACTTATTATCAATTTTTTTTTTTTTTATTGCCATATAAATTTATTTATATTTCTCTTTTTAGTTAAAAGTATCACTTTTTATACTTTTTATTTATCATAAAAAGAAATTTTTTTCTATTTTTATTTTTTTTTTAAAAAAAAATTATGCCGGATCGAATAGATATAAATTTATATGATGGAAAGAGGAATATTTTTTATATCTTTTGTCAATTTTTATTATTATGTATTATATTTTTTATAGTAATTTTGAAGAATCATATAAAAATAAAATACTCATAGAACACATTCATCATGTAATTTAATCTTATTATTATTATTATTATTATTATTATGATTAAGAGTGTGTTTATTTAGAACAAGCACACTATCAAATTATAAATGATCTTCGTAGCATAATAGATTGATCAATTATTTATATATCTATTTTATTTAAATTATTTATTTAAAATATTTTATAATTTTTTTATTTGTATAAAATTTTATAATTTACGTTTTTTTTTATAATCAAATATCAATTTTAGATAAAAAGAATATTTCGTATAAATTTTTTATTAACACAAAAGTTTCACTTAATAAATAAAATTCGAACTATTTTATTCATATTTACTAAATAATAAAGCATTGTATAATTTACTCAAAAATCAAAGCCAGATGCAGAAGAAGCACGAAATAAGCAAGGTAGAAATTTTCTACATCATTTCATTCTCTGTCACGCACTTCTCTCATCATGCCTTTATTATATATATAATTTAATATTTATTGGGTCGATCCCTATAAATATAAAAAAATATATATATATAGAATTTTAATAGAATTTACTATTTATCAAAATTCTTTCTAAAAAATATTAAATTAAATATCTAATTTTTATTTTTTATATTATATTAAAAATTAATTTTATATTTAAAACATTACATCAGAATTTATTTATATCATATCATAACACTATTCTAATTCAAAATTTTTATTTTTATTTTTATTCTAATCCGAAACAAACATAGCAATATTCTAGTAAAAAGTCTTTAATTATAATGTTATCTAAGTTAATGAAATAAACATGCTTTATAATTATTACAAAAAATTATTTGATTTACATTTTAAACAAAATTTAATATAATTTTAAATAAAAATTACTATTTTTATTACAGAATATCAAATTAAATTATTATTTAAAAAAAAATATTTTTGACCATATATAAGAACTATCGGTTTTGATTCAACTAAAATTAATCAATTTTAGGTCAATTAAAATTAGTCAATTTTAATTTGGTGTAACTGATATAACTTCTATTGTTTTGTTCAGAATATACATTTCGGGTTTTGAATAGGATAATATTCTAGATCATATTAGCTAGTTATGTTCATTTTTTTTAAAAAAAATTATTTGATATATATTTATAATTTGTTAAAATATATTTTAAAAATATTTCAACATATAAAAATAATCAAAATGGAATATTTTAAAAATGATTGAAAAACAATAACAATAATAATACTAATAAATTAATATATATTTTTAATAATCATAATAATATATTTTTCAATTTTTATTAGTAAAATTTTAAAAATAATTTTAATATTATCTCCGTCAACCGTCAATCTATCCATTTGCATTTGATGCTATCGTTTTTAATATTAAAAATATTTTTATATTTGTATAATTTTTTGTACAAATATCATTGTATTAGTATTATAAGACACTAATAAAAGTATTTTTGTTCTTTTTTCTTAATTTGTAATATATTTTGATATAATAATTAATATTCAAATATTAACGTGCAAAAAGTAAATTGATAGATTAGCGGTAGAAATAGGTAGTATATAATTTCATAATATGATCGTAAGCAAGATATCAATGTAATAATGAACCAACATAATAAAGAACAGTTTGTTATAATATACAAAATAAATATAATAATATTATAGTACATAGATATAACGTGTATAAAGATAAGTAAATAAATATATGTTTATGTATAGTGTAATATATGTAAACGTATTATTAAATATATTTAGAATTAATATATTATATTTATGAACGTGTTCATATGATTAATATAGAGAATTTTAATTTTATATTTTAATAGATATAATAATATATGTATCTAAAGAAATAGAGAGAGAAAGAATAAAACGTTTGTGTTTGTTTGATTTTTAGAGAAAGAAAGATGATTATTGGATCACTCAAATTCTTCAATCAATTTTACTTTAAACAAGCCTATTTATAGGCATATTTTTACATGCTTAGTCATTACATAAAATTGCATGGCATCAAATCATAAAGACACGTAAATAATGATACCTATAATCTAAATGTGTCATAACACTCCTCCTTAAGTATCATTTAATTGCATTGAATACACTTTGTTAAAACCTTATTAGAAAAAAAAACTATTGGAACAAGAATTCTAGTGAAGGAAAAAGACTACGATATTCATGCATTAAAAATATTCCCCATGATGTGGACATTACTTGAATTCTCGCTCTCTTGATGTGGATATCGTTTGAAATCTCGTAGCCGATGCATCCTGATGTTCTTCACCAATTTCTCGAGCATTGAGGTCGGTAAAGCTTTGGTCAACAAATTTGCTAAATTATCATTGGATCGAATCTGCAGCACATTTATTTCACCATTTTTCTGAAGATCATGAATAAAGCAAAATTTCGGTGAAGGATTATCCTCTTTTTAGTTGCGCTATACAAGTTGTTTTATCTTCGTACAAAATAGTAGGAGGATTATCTTTTTCAAATTTCAAACCACAATTTTGTAAAATATAGTGTATCATTTATCTTAGCCAAACACACTCTCGACTAGCCTCATGAATTGCTATTATTTTTGTATGATTTGAAGATGTGACAGTTAATGTTTATTTAGTGGATCACTAGGATACCACTGTACCACCACAAGTAAATATATAGCCAGTTTGAGACTTAACTTTATGCGGGTTAGAAAGTTACTCAACATTTGCATATCCAATCAATTCATATCGAGATCATTTTGGATATAATAGGCCGAGGTTAATAGATCATTGGATTTGATTAATTTCCAATGTCGTCGTGTTGGTATTGCACTCTAGCCAATAAATTTACATCAAATACTATATCTAGTCTGGTAATGTTAGCCAGATACATTAGTGCACCAATAACACTTAAATATGGTACTTCAGGACCAAGTGCTTCTCCACTCTCTTCTTTTGGTCTAAAAGGATCCTTGATAGGATCGAGAGTTCTAATGACCAATAAAGTACTTAATGAATGTGCTTTATCAATTACAAATCGTTTCAATACTTTCTTGGTATAAGCAGATTGATGCATCAAAATTCTATTTTCCAGATGTTCAATTTGTAGACCAAGATAGAACTTTGTTTTCCCAAAATCTTTAATTTCAAACTCTCTTTTCAAATATTCAATAGCTTTTTGGACCTCTTCAGGGGTTCCAAATAAATTCAAGTTTTTCACATTAACAACTATTATTACAAAATTTCTTCTATTTTTTTTTCTTTATATAAAAACACATGAGCAAACAGAATCATTGGCATATCCTTCTTTCAATAATGATTCACCGAGACGAGTATACCACATGCTACCAGATTTTTTGAGCTCATATAAGGACTTTTGTAATTTAATAGAATAACATTCTTTTGGCTTTGATTTGTATACATCAAACATGCTAAATTCTTTAGGGATTTTCATGTAAATATCACTATCCAACGAGCCATATAAATAGGCAGTTACGACGTCCATCAGACGCATATCCAAATTTTCATGTACTGCCAAACTGACAAGATATCGAAATATTATTTCATTCATTACTAGAGAATATATTTAATTAAAATCAACTCTAAGTCTTTGTGAAAAACCTTGGGCAACAGTCTTGCTTTATATTTGACAATTTCATTATTCTCATTTCGCTTTCGAACAAATGGTCATTTATAGCCAATAGGTTTACCACCTTCGGGTGTTTGAACAATGAGTCCAAAAACTTGATATTTTGCCAATGAATTTAATTTAGACTGGATCACATCTTTTTATTTTGGTCAATCTATTCTTTTCCGACATTCATTAACTGATCTAGGTTATGGATCATCGTAATTTTCATTAGATCAAGTGCTACATTATATGCAAAAATATTATCCATAATTGTATCATTTCAGTTCCAATGTTTTCCAATAGTAACATAATTTATTGAATTTTCAATAATTTCATTCTCTTCAGAAGAAATTTTATTAGGATTAATATCCTCAACAAGTTTATCATGATCAATTTCTTCAAAAATCTGATCCATGTTAGTAACTGTTTCTTGAGGGTTTTGATTAACATTCAAATCCTCAACTTTTTCATTGTTCATATTTTCTTTCGAGGATTTTTATCTTTGGAACCTACAGGTCTTCCATGCTTTAGGCGTGCATTTGATTCACTAGCACTTTGTATTTTTTCTTCAGGAATAAAAGATTTAGCAGGTACATTTTCAACAGTTATATAAGATCTAGTGACCCTGCTAGCGTCACAAAAAGCATCAGACAACTAATTTGCTATTCGTTGCAAATGTAAAATTCTTTACACCTCTAATTCACTTTGACTTGTACGAGGATCAAGGACACTGAATGGTATTTTACAAGTAATTTTCTTTTTCAATTGATTAGTTTCTCCCCCTAATATCGGGAAATATGATTCATCAAAATGACAATTAGCAAAACGAGTTGTAAACGAATCACCAGTTAATGGTTCAAGATATTTAATGATAGATGGTGATTCGTACCCAACATATATCCTCAATCTCCGTTGGGGCAGTGCAATTGACACATAAACAACGTATCCAAAAGTTCTCAAATATGAAATATTGGGCTGCTGTATGTATAATTGCATGTCCCTAAGAATATATAAGAAGTTTGAATTTCATTAACATAGGTCTTGCAATTAATTGCAATCTTTTTATAAGTGATTTAGTTAGACTATTTTGAGTATGTACATGAGGTACATGATGTTCAATGTCAATTCCAATAGACATGCAATAATCATCAAATGTGTTAGATGAAAATTCACCAGTATTATCAAGACGAATTTTCTTAATTTGGTAATCTGGAAACTGAGCTTGTAATTTAATTATTTGAGCAAACAACCTCGCAAATACCAAATTATGGGTGGATAATAAACACACATGCGACCATCTAGTAGATGCATCGATAAATATCATAAAATATCGTAATGGTCCGCATAGTATATCTACAAGCCCACATATATTACCCTATTAATGAGATATGAATTGTCTTCCATATTATTCATTATAGTGCGTTTAGCATTCATATTTCTTCTTTTGGGAGAAATATAAGAATACATATATCAGAAATTTAAAGAAAATACATAGCTGTCATATTATTACAAAATATTGGGAGCAAAAAGTACAGGGATTACAAAAATATATACACATATCTATATGTGTACTATATATTGCACTTCCGGGGTTTTCATAGTATCCACCTTCAAGGTGTACCAGAAGACCAGATACATCTAATTGCGTATTATCAGTACATTTATCATTCCCGCTACCACTGGCAATATTTTCCGAAAAATTGATTTATGGGGGGTTGACATTTTCCGGGCCTTTAACATCTTCTGGTACTTTGTTTTTCTATTTCAAAGAATTCTAGTGCAGCTCAACGAAATAAAAATTGGAACGACAATTTCTAAACCAACGTATTATCGTTCCGCAACGATAACCCTTATCCTCGTTTTTCTTTGAACTTTGACCAATATCATTCTGAGGTCGCTTCAGAGGCCTATTTGGTTCCTATTCATCAAAATATCCCCCACGGTAGTAACGGGAAACAAACTTGCCACGACCACGTCCACGATCGGCTCCGCGTCCACAATTCATTCCATGTCCACGATTAAATCCACGTTCACGGCTAAATCCACATCCATGGCCTTGTCTGCGACCTCGTCCGTGGTAGTATCTAATCATATTATTCAAACACCGAGTCGCATTCACTTCAGGGAATGGTCTTGCACCAGTTGGTCTCGATTCGTAATTTTTCAATAATAATTCGTTATTGTGTTCAGCAACAAGGAATAAGTAATAAGATCACAATATTTAGTAAAACCCCTTTCTCGATATTGTTGTTGTTAAACTACATTAGAGGCATGAAACGTGGTGAACATATTTTCCAACATATCCCTATCAGTAATATTTTTCCTACAAAATCTTAATTGAGATGTGATTTTAAACATCATAAAATTATAATCGGCAACTGTTTTAAAATCTTGCAAACGCAAGTGTCATCATGCGTGTTTCGCTTTTGGCACTATGACAGATTTCAGGTGGCAAATCGATCTTTCAAATTTGTCCTTAATTCAAACGGATCTTTCACCCTTAGATATTCCATTTTAGGGCTTCGTCAATATGATGACATAAAAAAATCATTGCCTTTGTACATTTTTAATACTGTGCATTCATATTAACTAATTATTATTTTTTAAAGCCACCCACGACATATAATTACTTCCGGTAATTGCTACTAGGGGTGTGTTTGTTTGAAAGATTTTGTTGGATTTCTACTATTCATTCCATTTTTTCCCCTTAAAAACATCAAATCAAACACTTATTTTTCATTTTTTATATTATACTAAAAATCAATTTTACATTCAAAACATCACATCAACCCCTATTTATATCACATCATACAACTATTCAAATTCAAAATTTTTACTATTCAAATCCCAACTCAAAATTCAAATCCCCAAACAAACACACCCTAGGGAAAAATTCAAATTTCTTTATATTAGTCATGGTTAAAAATAAATAAATAACCCATCAGAAATTTTGCAACCATTTTCGAGCAACCTTAATTGTATGACATCAGATCATATAAACACATATTTATGTGAATGACACCTATAATCTAAATGTGTTATAACACTGTTTAAATGAAACAAAAATCGAAAAAAATTGTCTAATTTTGCATGCATTGTGAATTCTCATGTTATAAAAAAAAAAATATAAATTTTATGACATGATAAAAATAAAAATTAAAATCAAATAGACACAATAAATGGTAAATAAAATCCGGTTTACTTCATCCACACTCTCTCCGTGTACGACCAGATATTCCGATGGCCGGACCTCCGCCGAAACCCCTGTCCTCCCCGGAGTGGGACTCATTAATCGACGACTACAACCTCGGCGCCCGCATCGACCGCTGGACTGGCGGCGCTCCTGTTATCGATCTCTGCCTCTCCTCCCTCCTCCGTAGAGATCTCCCCGTCCAACTCAAGCTTCACATCCTTACTTTTCTCGAGCACCACTGCCTCGACGAATCGCCGTCGCTGTCGTCCCCTTCTCTCTCTCGCCTCCTCGACTCCCTCCGCTCCGTCGTACAGTCGCCGAGCGATCCTTTTGTTCTCAAGGACCAATTCCTCGTCTCCACAACCTCCGTTTTCATCACCGCCTTAATTGGCGCCGAGGATTCGATTGGCGAGTCTCCGCTAACTGTTCTAGTCGAGCTCTTGTTGACCATAATCAATCGCCCCAATCACAGCATCGATCGACACACGCGCGGCATCGCGTGCGAGTGCTTGCGGCAATTGGAGCTGGCCTTCCCTTGTTTGCTCTGCGAAATCACTCCTCATTTGTGGTCTCTTTGCCAGAGCGAGCGAACACACGTTGCCCAATGGTATGTTCTGCTACTATCTACAGCAATAGTTAATGTGATCAAGCTGAGGCCAAGTGACAGCTCTACTGCGTCCATTAGTAATCCCACAATCCCTTTGATCCCGTTCAATGTTCCACAGTTCTTGAGCCATGGAATTGGTGAAGATTTTATGTGGAAGGAGAAGGAGGTAAGTTACAATGAGTTGAGGAGGGTGGTTGCTTTCTTGCTTGATTGCCCGCAGCATCTCACGCCTTTTGGATTGATGGAGTTTATGGTCTCGATAATTCCTGTAGCTCAAGAGCTGGAGCTTCAGCCTTCTCTGCTGAGGGTGCAGTTCTCGTGGTTGCTGTACACCTTTGAGCCGTTGCTTTACCATGCTTTTCTTGGAATGTATTTGAAGTTTTTGGATTCATTTGAAGGACAGGAATTTGACGTAGCTTCACGTATATTATTGTTATCAAAAGAGTCCCAAAATCATCTGGTTTTTAGGCTGCTGGGACTTCACTGGCTTTTGGGTTTCTTTGGTGTAGTTGCTAATGATAAGGTTCAAAAGAGAAGTGTTCTTGATATGAGCTTAAGCTTTTACCCTACCATATTTGACGCGTTGGCTATGAAAGCTTTGAAGCTTGATTTGCTTGCTTATTGCTCTAGTTTCTTGAATGATCTTGTAGATGAGGATGGCGTAAAAGGTGTGGAGGTTGATAGGGAGGGGTATGAGGCTAAGCTATTTAAAGATGGCCTTGTTTCTGTATCAGCTTTTAAATGGCTACCTCCATGGAGCACAGAAACTGCTGTGGCATTCCGCACCTTCAACAAGTTTCTCATTGGTGGATTACCACATTCTGGCGATCCTTCTTATTCTGTTGTTCCGACGACTGAGTCCAGAATTTTCTACACCTTACAGGTACAATTGGTTCTTGATCTGTATTGCAGTTGCATTGTCCCTGATTTCAGTTTCTTTGGCATTCTGAGCCAACAGTTAGGCATGTTATGTGCTTTCTATTCTTAATAACCTTGAAACTATGATATTCTTTTTTAGTGGCATGTCTTCCTACTGGTAATGAACAGTTGAGTTAGAATATTTATTTATTATAAAAATTATTAGCATACCATCTTTTAATTTAGTAATTGAATGTAATTGTAGAAACAATCAAGGCAAAATTTCAGAGAAGACATAGAAAAGTTGAGTGTTACATCCTTTGGAATCTGGTTTAAAATTTCTGCAACTTGCTTTCAGCTGCACAAATTGGCTTGTACGAGTTTTTTAATTTTAACCTTCATTTATACTCTTTTAAAATGCTATCACTGAAGAAATGCTTGTGAAAAGTGTGCAATGATTGTTCTGTAGAATTTTTGACCTGTTGTTCTTACTTCATTTGGAACTGGTCATGTTCCGTGGTTAGTGCTACTACATATTCCAGGTTCATGCGAATCAGAGAATATATGATGCCCTTCACTAACCATGGAAGTGGACTAACTGTTTTTAATGAATTTTAGTCAAATTGCTAAGCCTTGACTTGCTACTTGGTAAATCTAGTAACATGAATTTTACATAGGTAGCAACATATCTCAAACTGTTGCTTCATCTGATTAGTTCAAGAGTAAATCAGCTGATGATTGGACTAGTTGCCTGTTATCAATTTTTTATTCTAATATCGCACCCCAAACAGATGGTGCTAGTATAGACTGAAGTTTTCAATTGCTAGGCTACCTTCTATTAGGCTGAATTGTGATCATCTGTCAAGCTCAAATTTTTTGGGTTGGATGTGATAAAATGTTAAATATAAATTTAGCAAGTTCAATGCTATTTTGCAGGTGCTGAATTGCTTCAATTTTCTTCTGCAGTTCAAACCTGCTATCTAACTTAGTTCTCCACCATTTTCAGTGCTTCTATATGCCTCTTACTCTTTACAAGCTTGTTTTGTTCAAGCAAGGTGGTTCTACTGTACACGGCTGTCCGTATGCATTGCTAGATTCAATATTTTGATGGATTTTGTTGCACCTCAATTCTTTGTGTCATAATTCTCATTAAATTGAAATTCTCCATGTTTGTTATTGCTATACCAGAAACCCATGACTGCTAGTAATATTAGCTGGCATTTCTTCTGTAGTTATTTTAAAATACGAACAAAATCAGAAGTCAAAACTCAAAATGATGATAAAGAAGAGCAATCGGTGTGGTAGAAATTGATTATTGTGACTTGGCACAGCTCCAAGTAGTTTTACATGTCAACAACTGGATTCAATAATGCAACACCTTTAATTTGGTATAAAAGTTTCGGACCTAATGACTATAACATTGCAAGGTAAGTTAAACTTAACATCCTCAAAAAGTTTAATTAATGATTTTTCGGCTTGATTTTGAACAAATGTATGTAGACAAATCCAAAACGTGTAGATGAGTATGATGTGTGTTTTATTCATTGTTGATTGATTGGTTTGCTTATATGCGTTTCATGTGGCTTTTGTTCGTAAACTGGTAAAATAACTTGTTTCACAGACAAGGTTATATGTCGTAACAACTTTTTTAATCTTTTGGTCATTAATTTGATAGGTGACTCAAAATATAATTAGCATCTGATGCTTTTGTGAGTGTTGTTGATGTGATTCTAATATTTTTGGTTCATGAAGATGCATCAAATATGATGGCAATTCCCTTTTGAAGTGCAGACCATGCTGGTGGAATCAACTTCAGAATATAGAGGTCTAGTTCCAGTGGTTGTTGCTTGCACTGATCGCTTGTTGGGATGCCCCAAACACTGCTGGTTGGGAGATCATCTTCTTGAAAAATTAGATGAGCATCTACTTCCAAAGCTCAAAATGGACTACAGCCTGGGGTCTTACTTCCCCCTATTTGAGAAAATTTCTGAAAATGATAAAGTTTCACCTAGCGGGTTGTTACAAATTCTCATGAGTTTCACAAGTTTCCTCATAGAGAAACATGGTCCTGATACAGGGTTGAAATCTTGGCTTCATGGAAGTAAAATACTTGGGATCTGTAGGACTATGCTGATCCACCACCGGAGCTCTAGATTGTTTACCAGGCTGTCTCATCTTCTTGCATATACGTGTCTTTATTTTCGTGATTTGGAGGTTCGTGACAATGCCAGGTATCGTTTAGATTTCTCTCCAGACAACTTCTGGTGTAATTTATAAAATGCTTGTTTAATAAAGAGAATTAAAACTTAAAACATTTTACTTGGGAATTTGTTGATCATTGCATCAGCACATGGAAACTCAATCTCGTTGCTGTTTTTTCATTGCAGATTTTACTTGCGAATGCTTATCTGTGTTCCTGGAAAGAAACTCAAAAATATACTGAATGTTGGGGAGCTTTTGCCAGGGATATCTCCATCCACACATTCAACCTCATTATTTAGTCGTCATTCTTCTCAATCTTTGCCCAACCTTAGGAAACCTAGTAATATTGCTTCTTTCATTCATATTGAACGTGTGTTACCTTTGTTGGTGAAGCAGTCATGGACCCTGTCTCTGCCAAATTTTGGCATCAATCCTGAAAAACCTGGTTTCTTTGAGTACATCAGGGATAATAAGCCAGCAGGAGAGGAGATTGCCTCAAACACAATGATGAGTGGAGATTTAATCACAGAAAATGACAGTTTTCAACAGCAGAAGGAACCTCTGCGCGTGATGGATACAAAAATTTCAGAGATTGTTGGGGTGCTGAGACGGCATTTTTCCTTAATTCCTGATTACCGACATATGCCAGGCCTCAAGATTAAGATCTCTTGTAGCTTGAGGTTTGACACAGATCCATTTAATGGTACTGGGGAAGTTGATTCTACATTGGATCGAGTGGATAAACTCCCTGCCCTATATGCCACAGTTCTAAGATTCAGTTCTTCTGCTCCATATGGAACTATTCCTTCATCTCATATTGCTTTCCTTCTTGGCTCATCAAATACAAATAATAAACTCCTAAGCAAAAGTGATTCATTAGCTATTGTTCCCATGGAGAATGGCCATGTGGAAGAAGAAAACTTCAAAGCTCCTGTATGTATAGAATTGGAGCCTCGAGAACCAATGCCTGGTATGGTTGATGTGTTCATCGAAACTAATGCTGATGATTGTCAGATTATCCAGGGACCTCTTGACAGTATTTCTGTTGGGATTGAGGATATGTTTCTTAGAGCTCTTCTTCCAGATGGAATTACTGAAGATGCCGTACCTGGTTATTATGTAGATCTGTTCAAGGCATTATGGGAGGCCTGTGAGACATCATCAAGCATTGGCAGGGAGACCTTTGTCTTGAAAGGAGGAAAAGGGGTGACTGCTATAACTGGGACTCGGTCAGTAAAACTTCTTGAAGTTCCTGCAACATATTTGATTCAAGCTGTTGAACGTCACTTGGCACCTTTTGTTGTTAGTGTTGTTGGTGAAACACTTGTCGACATAGTTCAAGCTGGGGGTGTGATCAAGGATGTATTATGGAAGGATTTCAGTTCAGACTCTTCGTTTGATGTGGCATGTTCACCGACTAGTTCTGGCGGGCCTCTGTATCTGAAGTACTTTGGGGATGAAGACGATGAAGTAGGGTCAGTCCCAGTTAGTAGGAAATATATAGGTTACATTCACATTTTGATATTTCTTCCACCAACATTCCATCTTCTTTTTCAAATGGAGCTTCGTGAGTTTTCAACTCTGGTTAGGATTCGAACTGACCATTGGCCATGCTTGGCTTATGTTGATGACTATTTGGAGGCTTTATTTTTGGAGTGAAGTTTCTTTCATTCTGCCTTTGGTTTGCTTATCTTGTTTCGGCTATATCTTGGGACAAGCCATATTTGCTTCAAGTACAGAGAGGTATATATATATGTTACTTGCGCAATTCCTTCGCTCTTATTAGGTGCTAATCTGCTTGATCTCAAGCTTTTTAAATCTGTTTCAAAAGTATTTCTTGTTCTTTTACTAAAAAATGTAGTTTTTGTTTATAACATATATCTAATTGTTCACCTTTCTTTGACTAATTAGGTCAAATTGCTCTTTTTTTTTTTATTGATTAAAGCCAGTAATATGGGACTGGCCTGTTATAAACTACAAAATTATATAATCATATTTGGAAGCTATGGTAAAAATAAAAATAAAAATTAATGTTTTATATGTAAATATTGTTAGAAGAGTTTATACAGAATAGAGATTCTGTTATTGTCTGCATATAGCAGTAGTACATATTCTTAAGATGCGAGTAGATCCCGGCTCATTAAACTTGAACATATTGCATAATTAGGGTCAATAAATGGATCTTCATTTGTAGTTTTCTCTTATTTAATGTTGCTTATTATTTGTACTAGTTCAAAAACCAAAATGTTTGATATACTTACTGTAAATTCTGCTGTCTTGTTAATTTGATTGATTATAATGATTCTTCCATGCTTCTGCACTTGGTGAATTATGCTTGCTTGCTATTATGGGTCCCTGCTTCATAATTGTTTTGCTCTCGCCCGCCCCTCTCATGTTTACAGGTCTTGACAAGGACAAAATCAAATTGCAGGGAATTCTCAGGGGAAGATATCTATCTAAGTGGGACAAGGCCCTCTTGTTCCATTAGTTGAGACCCCTAAATCTTCGGTGGACCACGAGCAGCAGCCAGTTAGAGCATGAAAATGATCCATCGGTGGGGCAGGGCAGGATGGCAGATAATAATGCATGAAATCAAGATTGAAAGAGCAGAGCAGGATTCAACATTGGCTGTATAGAAATGGGCCATGGAGAAGAAAATGACTTGATGATTGCATCTAAAAGTGCAGCTGCTGCTGGTGAGAAATGTCTTATTTTGCCTGGAGCTGTGATTTTGCATATATATATATATATATGTATATGTTATAAGTACAAACTTTGGTTCATTTCAGGTATCCAAAATTTGATTAGACTGCAGAATTGATTTAAATGAGTTTGGCTTGTATTCCATCCTCCCAATGGAAATGGTGCGCCCTACTCATCCAAATCTCTCTTAAAAACATGACATTCATTTATTTTAAATATTAAACCGACAACACATTTTCTATTTAAAATATCATCTTAAATATTTATTTAAATATTAAACATGTATTTTTTGTTCAGTTTTTTTACTTTACCAAACAACTTAAAACACTTTTATAAAATATCTAGAAATTTGTGGTGTTTTTGAAATAGTTAAATTGCACTACCTTCATTTTTTAACATGGTGAAATATTTGTTTGAAGCAAGAAAATTTAGATGAATATTATTAAATATGATAATTTAAAAATTAAATAATGTGATGAAAATGAGAAATGCATATTTATATATTTTTATTTGGATGTGATGAGATAAAATATGATATAAGAATCAAATACAATTTATTATTTTTTATTTTGAAAATATTATAAGATATTTGAGACAAATTAAAAAAAAAAAAATTTATTTAAAAAATATTACAAGATATTTAAGACAGACAAAAGGCAAAATATTGCAAGTTATTTGGAACATATAATATATTTTATACACAAATGTTTATATATATATATATATAATATTTTCTCTATTTCAAAATTTTCTTTTTAAGTCTATTCTATTTTAATAAGGTAAACTCATTATAAATTAACATAATTAATTTTATAACATATAATAGCATATAATATTTATTATATTAACATAAACCCTAAAATCTATTCAAAATTATTCTCTTTTACATCTTTCCTCTAAAGAAATAAATATTTCTATTTTATTAAAACTTATTATTTTTATAAAATTAATTTATATTAATTATAAATACATATTTTTTATTTATTTATATTATATAAAATTTTATTCTATACAAAATAACACTTTTTCATTTCACATAAAATGTTCATATTTTTAGTCTGTTCCACATTCTTTTTTTAAAAAATTTAATTATAATTTAATGACATTTTAAATTTCATAATTTATAATTATTTTAATCTTAATTAAATTATATAGTCAGCATAATTATTTTTAATAATATATTTTTTAATTAGTTACTAATTAATTCTTATTTTAAAACTATTAACAACATTATCCACTTTAAAAAATATATATATACTCTCTTGTCCCAAATTGAAAAGACTCTTTAGATTTTTATAGTAAATTAAAAAAAAATATATTTTATTAATTAATAAAAATATAATATATTTATAACTCAAGATATAAATTAAAAATATTGATATTTAGTGTATGATTAAATTTTTAAAAATAAAAAAGAATACTTTGAAATAAAACAGACAAAAATTAAAAAAAAAATACTCCTTCCCTCAATTCCAATATATTAGTAAAAATAATTATCCTATAATATAAATAATTATAAATTAAGATTAAAATAACTAATTAGTTTAATTAAAATTAAAAAAATAAATTACAATGAGATTAAAGTGGATAATTATTTTCAAAAAAGAAAAATAATTTGAAATATGGAACAGACAGAAGCTGATATTTGATATGTGAGACGAGAGTAATATTTTAAATTGAAACTGAGAATATATAATATGATATTTAGAAAAAAAAAAATAAATTATTATAGATAAATAGTGTAAACCAAGTTTGTAACGGAGACCTTGGTAGTAGTGTAAGGAGTGAACTTGTGACCATGAGGTCATGAGTTCAGCGCAACACCTAAAAAACACCTTTAACAACTGGTAGATTCATTCAACATAACATAAATAAATGATTTGAACACCAAGTCTAAAAGACATTTAGGAAAAAAGTAGTCTAGTAATCTGAAAGACATGCTTAGCTACCAAACATTTTTACACTAAGAAGTTGGAACTAGCAACCACTCTTTCTGTCCTGCTCTTATCTGGCTTGTATCTACACAACCTAGAACAACAATAAAACTAGCTGATACAGAAGCTTAACCTTCCCTTTCCCTTTCCCTATCCCTAAATTTATGTTAACAAACATTCTATCAAACAATGATATATATATATATATATATATGCATATTCATATCCCAAAACTAGCTGCTGCGACTCTCAAGTGGTTGGGATGTGCATCTCTCCTCTGAATCATGGGATGCTGGGATTTTTCTCAGCGAACGGTATTGTAACCGCACATTTTCGCCACTCTCAATAATTTTAAGCAAATACCTTGATCAAACCAGTTGTACATCAGCATACTTCAACAAATAAACAAAACAATGCAATAGATGTGACACGTAAAATAAAGGCTTTTTTGGTTAACTATCGTCCAAATTTTATTTTACCAAAGACAGACTCTACAAGTTATTTATGCTTTATACACATTCGTATTCAATTATTGCTTCTATTCAAACGTATATATAGAATAAAATTATCGTCATGTCATATAAAATGTCTTGTGATTGTATCCTGAATAAATTGACACAAAGAACAATAACATCCTATGTATCTTTTGTTGAGTTTCTAATTGAATAACTATTGCATACAACAATGCAGGCCTCTGCCCTGCACAAGCTCCACTCCAAAATTTTCAATCACGCTCCAAAAAATTGGTGCTAACAACAAATATACCCAAGGGTTTCAACCAACCAAACGACAATCAGGAAAGACTCCTTTGTGGTTCTCATGTAAATTTTTTACTTACGCAAAAGATAATAATATAACAAATAAATAAATTCACACTTAAAAGGAATCCAAAATGAACAACAAACAAATTAATATTTACATAAAGATCATGTTTATATAACTAACCAGCCATTCAAGCATTGTGATGTAATCACAGCCTCCTTGCCGACAAACTTATCAGGTGTCCGCCTATTTCCCTGCATGATATGTTTCATTCATCCAGATATTTCTCTTATGACAGAAAGGATAGCTAGATGGGATATAAAATACCTTGATGACAACCTTCTCATTAACCGAGAAAGGATATTGTAAGGCTCTATGTGAACCATTTTCTGGAGTTGCATCGCCGTTTTCCTAAAGAGGTTAAAAAAGTGAAGTGAATACCCAATGAAAAATTTCCATCTATTTGTTACAAAGATAAAGATGACTGTCAATTGATAGTTATTTTCTGGCACGTCTGGGTGTTGGAAGTGTGTAATATACAAAAACATGTGCAAAATGTAACTCAGAAGCATGGCTATTGGGCTAAAACTTGATATATTTAGCAAAAGAATCACTTTAAGTGGTTGTTTTAGTAGTACCACACAATAGCCTGCTCAAGGAAATCTTCAACTATTGTAAATTTATATACAAATAAGAATATTGCCTAAGGAAACGGACAATGAAAGACTAGCCAGGCTAATTTTTTACTTGCTTTAAACATTTTACTGTACAGTTGATCCATTTCATTTTCACTTGCAAAAAGGCAACTTAGATTTATTAATTTATAATACCGTTGTGTAATTTATTATCTACAGGGATAATAATAATAATAATAATAATAATAATAATAATTTGGTAATTTATTTTGCACAGAGAGTAGACATATAGAATAAAGGAAAATTCAAGCAGTGACATTAGATTATTGATGACTGCTGTTTAAGAAACAGTGAACTATTAATTGATATAATTTTATTTTATTTTTCCTTATCTAACATTGTACAGAAAATACATTAATTTTCTGAGTCTTTTTTCCTCCCAAAATAAATTTCTCTTAAATAACTTTTCTTCCTAACTAATCATCACTCTCTGATCTCCAAAATTGTCAATGGAGAAGCTGGGAGGCAATGAAAACAGCAGGAAAGTGTATATTGTGAGGGATAGGACAGGGCAGTGGCAAAGACATAAGACATCCAATCATATGGAAGTAGAAGTTAAGCATGTGATATAGGCATCATTAAGCTATAGAAACAAAACAAATGCTTTAATCCCTACAAAGCGTTATGACACTTCAGAAGAATGATAAGTTGAAATGCAACCGTTATTTTATTTTCTATAAGAATAATAACACTCAATTTTTGAGGGGATCATTAACACTACCAAGATTTTCTCATGGGTTTTCTCATAAAACCATCTTAGATAAAAGGCTTGGTGAATACGAACTAGGATTAGAAGATAATTCAGTCATTCCATAGGGGGGTAGCAATCAACCAAAGTAAAAGGCAAAAGATATACATGTTATAATAACACACAAGCTCAATAATGTCCACTGCTGTATGCTTAAACTAGAAGTCTATGACACAGATTTCGCTATAGTTAAAATGATTGCTAACTGCAATACCAGTTTACAGCATCTGTGCATAGAATAAGTTCTGTGACCAAGCAATTAAAGTAATATAAATTCCCTTTGAACTATTGGGTCTTAACTGCCTGGCGTCTTTTGTCTCTATGTTATTTAATGTTTGGCTTTATCTTTCTCTCTGTATCATCGTATTGTACCCATATTATGGTTTGTTATACTAAAAATCCTTTTTTCACAAAATGAAAAAAGCAATTAAAGTTTACCCTGTTCTCATTTGCCTCCTTCCTGCGCTTCCGCAGAGCTGCATTATGAAAAAGTCGACGATCGTCCTCTTGTTTCACTGTCAGAGCTGCAGCCCTCAAAGCTGCATATGCATCACCAAGATATCACCATCATGAGCTACAAAGAACAATAACAAGCTAAAGAATGAGAAGGTTCAAAGAACAGGATAGATTCTGTAAGTATCGGATAGAGGGCGATGCCAGACATTACCGTGATTTGGGATCATAGATCCAGCCTTAATTTCTGAATTGCAGAGGGTACATTTGGACTGTAAAAATAAATGGCCAGAATTTATTGTTTCAATACGTATCATAGTCAATGAAAGATATATACTGGCGTCGCTGTAACTTTTGACATTGAAAGAAGATCAGGGTCTAGTGATATATGATGAATATGCAAATATATATGTCAATCAATATAGCCTGGTCTAAGTGAAAAGTGGCTGCAAGTGCAAAGGCACAGATTTTTCAGGTTTGCAATGCTTTCTTCTTGCAGAAACACAAAGAGAGGCATACACACACACATATATATAATATAGTTTCGAATTAATTATGTTGAGCCAAAAAATAAATAGCAGTTGGCCAGTAACTTGGAAATATCCCAAAAATGCTAAACAATACATAATCTGAAGTTTAGAAGATAACTGTGATACATATAAATTACTTAATCAGATACAAAGTAGTATGGAAGCTTTGTGAGGTTACTGCCAGCCACACACATCTGACAAAACTAATGTGAGTTCAATAAAATTCACCTCACACATGTCATAATCACATAAGCCTTACCCTAGGTCACAATGTAAGACTTCACCTCAAGCAACATGTAATTTACCGGAGCTTCTCATAACAAAATAAGAGGCAAAATGTAGAAACGGAGATAAAAGCAAAACATCAATTATAGGTTCTACTTACTGTTTCAATGACTTTTCGTAGCATTAGACCACCAAATGAATGCCCACAAGAAACCAGCATGGCATCCTCAAGGAATGCACCCCTGGAGAATACACAATTTCAAACAGAAAAATTATAATCAATGCACAGAGTTTAAGGCACATAAACATATATTTATATCACATATTATCAACAAGAAGAGTAATGGTTGAATACCATCAAGCATAGTCAACTTTTTTAATGAATTTATGTGCAACAAACATAACACACATGATAAAAATAAACTCAAGACAGCAAAAACTTAATAAATCAAAGCAAGTGATCCTGATGCAGATTACAGAGGCCCAGGCACAGTGAGAATATATGTACAGTGCACTTATTCAGTTAGAATCTAGCATGTCTTGAGCTAAAAGAAATACATATGATTTTTGTGAGTCGTGTAACACAATCCACCTCTACGTATGGCCACAACGCGTTTGAATAAAGGTCTGGCACTGACAAAGACCCATAGAGAGGTGTTTAGGTCATTTGTTCAAGACTTCAAGTGCTTAAGATGATTCTCAACTTCATTGGAAAGAGGAAGAAATAAGTAGTAATCTATAAAGACAAGTTTAGCTTCCAGGCATCAACATATATACCATGTTAAATGATGATCTCACCTAAAAGCTTAAGTTTAAAGGAATACACATCATATATTTATTTATTTAATATGGAGTCAACCAACAATATATAAATCCATTATATGAAACATGCAAAATTTGTAAAAAGGTTATTGTGATAACATGACATGATTTAAGGATAAGAATAAAATAAAAAAATTGAGAGGAACTGTCTAATTGGCTGATTGGCTGTCAGAAGCAGGCACACCTCATTTACCTTGCATCTCTATAAAAATCCAGCAAGCTCACAAAGGTGGGCAACTGGTAAATGACCCAACAAAAAAGCAGTGTGTAGCAAACAAAGACTGGGTCTATCTGAATTGACAAGTTTAAGCATGTACTTTCAGCGTCTTTTAAAAAACTATAGGGGAAAAAGGTGCAGATGTCCACTGAAAACATATTTGTGAGAATGTTATAAACTGAAAAAGCGCACAGGCAAATGGATAGTAACATTCTGTTACAATTTAACTAGTTTCCAAAATGAAAATGGACATGGTTTCCCTCTTTGTAGAGACTATCATGGTCTAAAAATGTGTTTTTTCTTGTACTTCAAACAAAACACCCTTTATTTCATTAAAAGGGAGATCTCCTTGAAATATATATTTCACTTTGTGGGTGCCCTTAGAATCTTTCATTGTGTATTTAGTTGAAAGTTTCATGTTGTCAAAATTATATTTGTATAGATTTCTATTTAGTTTAGGATTTATTGTTTCTATAAAATTTTGTGGTTAGTATTGCATACACTAATTAACATGAACATCAACAAAAATGTTGCATTGCAGATTCAAACAAAATGAATCACTTCTGTCCTTGGAGCTAGGTAAATGAAGAATGAATTTTCGGTGTCATTCATCATATTTCACATCAAAGACACAGATTCAAAGCCTGTACAGGTAGGCACCAAATTGCCAAAAGTTTGCGTTTATGACACTAGATTTAATGTCTACTGTAAATTTTCATTCTACGTAGTGGATAATATTTGCCCATATATGATAAAAAAGAAAAAAAAAAAAAAAAAAAAAAGGAAGAGTTCCAACTTCCAAAATGACATTCCACCACCCACCTTCAATTTTTGCCAAGTGCTGGTCAGTATCATTATCCGAGCAAACTCCAATTTGGTTGGATTTGATGTCAAGTAGCAATTATTGTAATTTGACTTCATAAATAGTTTTTCTTTTCCTTTTTTAAATCAGAAGATTAGAGTTAGTTTTAAATCCTTATTTCATTTCAAGCATATAACAGAAATATATGGAAATTTTGGTTTATCATTAATCACTTTCCTAGCACAGTTACTCTGAAGAAAGGAGGTACCAAAAATATTAATGCACACAAGAAGAAAACCAAATTCACAATATTTGCTATATGTTCTAAATAGCAGCAAGAAGATCCCAAGAGTGTTGCATATTGACTTGACTTTGTGGAATTTGAGATTGTTAAGGACTTATCATCTCAGTGTTTCACCAATTATATAAAACAAATGGGCCCAGATAATGAGACAATGTCTGTCAAATATGCTTGTCAATGACGTTTCATTTGAAGTCTGTATCACTGCTGCGTATTATGATTTCTTCTTGCAATGCATAGACACTACATCATCTTTTGTAATTACTAGATTGATGTTATTTTCAAAACCTATTTGACATTTAATAGGAGTGAAGATAAGATTATACTCAAAATGATCATTTCTACCATCAAAGAGTCCAGGGACAGTACACACAGTTCAACAATACTTGATCTACAAGATTTAATATCCTCTTAGTAAGTTTTATACCAAAGCTCATCTCATTTTTCACGATCCAATCCTCTCATGCTATTGGTGACTTGGCAATATCCTAAACAATATTATTCCATATAGTGCCAATTCAACTAAGATGAGCAGCTTGCTAATGGTTTTCTTGAAGGGGTATCTTTCCATTACTTTAGAGAGAAACACAAAGCCTAAAATTGTGACATTACTATAGTTTTCACCTTATGTCCTGATCCCTATGACAAAATACAAAATCCTTTTCAAGTTACCAGAAGCAGAAGGTATGGAAAAAATATATTTATTATGAGTTGAAAGCACAACTACAGACATATTAAAGATAACTGCTCTTATCAATCAAACTATCAAGTATCAACCATCTGATGAAGTATAGAATGGAAAGGCATTTTGAACACATAACCAATCTACTTACGACAAAGGATCTGACAAAACACTTCTCAACGACGGTTCCTTATTAAAGTCATCTGCAGATACCTGTTGATGAGAATCCAAAATATAGACATATCATACTGGTGAATCTCTTCTAGATCTACTCACTAGAAAAACAAATCTCCCAATGGGTTCAAATAAAAATACCCAACTCAATGTGACTAATCGCAAACAACAAAGGGTAAAAGGAAAAGAGAATGAAGGAAATCATGCTTTGTCTTTATAATAGCAGCAATCTACAATATGATTTCTGTCAGTCAATCTATATTTTACCATGTGGAAGACCACCAATGTTATTGTTACTGTTATGGAAATGAACATGTAAAATATTACTCACAGTCAACTTTGATGTTCCTGACAATAAGAAACACTCAGAATCTAACACCCTTGATTATCCAACCAATCGAACCACCAGTATTGAATATTTACCCACTATGGGAGACTACTATTTACACAAAAAGGTGGTCTTCCAATAATCATTTATCAATCAAACTCAATTGCTTCCAATAATTATTGCAGAAATACTTACATAAGCATTATCAGTGTGATTACACAACCCATCTTCCTCAGCTGAGAGCTCACCCATAAACTGGCGTACTGATATTGGCACAAAGTTCTGAGAAATAACATGCCCAGCTGCAGCAATTGGAGCACAATCCAATATTGCACTCCCTTGTGGCATGAGTCTAAATGCCAGCGAGGTTCTAAATAAAGCAAACATCTAGTTAGAGAAAAAACTTAACTACATCAGAAAGTTACAGCTACAAGTAGAACACCTTCCAACACTTCCAGGGATCACAAGATTATCTGGTGTGGCTCGATATGAGGTAGCAGGTCGAAGTCCTGCAGTTGTATGGCTGAGAACCTTTCCTGTAAGCAGCAAAAGGTCCCCAGGTGCCAAGCCTCTATCTGCTTGATACCAACAGCCATTGGGGTCGCAAACCTTTGGTTGACAAATGAATAGCTCATATATCAATGCAGGAAGAATATTCATGCCACAATTGATAAAAACATTATAAGGAACAGACTTCATGATGAAAAAATGCCAGCTGGATATTCAAAAGAATATTATTGGAAGCACATCAAGAAAAACACCTGAATACCAGGGACATCAGAGGATATCAACACTAGCAAACCCTTCTCAACTTCATAACCTAACACAGGCTTCCCTCCTCCATTTGCATTTTTCCCATGCGTGGATAACTGGGACTGGGAGAATGTGGCAATGAGAACTGATGAAGATGGCTCGTTAGCGGGCAACGGGCAATCATCAAGCAAGTGATTGAAAACACTGTAACGAAACTGAAATGTTTCAGGAAGTCACAATGAAATAACTAAAAAAATGACAGCTTTGCACCAATTCATCCTTACACTGATAAAAGAGAATTAGAAAATAAATCCCCTGATTCTTACTCGCTACGGAGCCGAAGATGTCTCGCTATTGCACTCAAAGCAGCACGAGCTGCTCTCCCCATGCATCTGAAAGTGTCAGCCAAGCACGGAGGATATGAATCCACATCTTCCAAAGACCTATGACAGAATTAACCGTCTTAGAGTTTCGAAACTGCACCATGGAGTACCACACCATGGCTATATACAATATTGAGAAAGTATACACAGGCAAACCAGATTTTACATTTATTAATGTAGGAGACAAACCAATTTTAACATATACAAGTTACCATATTGAGCCTAAATCTCGATAAGATACAACTCAATTTATTCAGGATTTCATGTGAACACTCACCCGCCACTCACCATTATTGCCACCACTACAACTAGTTCTACATTTTAGGGCACAAAAATAAAAAACAGTCAATGAAAAGTTGAAGATAGGACAGAAGGACGCTACAAGTCTACAACTAGACATTCCATTTCATCAATTTAATATAAAATCTATTGATATGAACAAATTCGTATAGCAAATGGCGAAGAAACACTCACAAAGGAAAGAAAAAAAAAAAACTACCTTCCAGCCCTGTAGGTGTAAACCCCTCGGCCAGCCTTCCTTGTGCGAAAGTAAAGGCGGGAAGACTCAAGGGCGCAGCGGAGCAAGGCAGCATCGTCGGAGCCAAGCTCAATTACGGCGGCGTTGTAGCGCATGAGGGAAGTGGACAAGGTATCGAGTGCTTTTACGTAGGGGCCCATGGGGGCGCCGTCGTAGGGCAGAATATCGGATAATCGAACTCTAGAGGGGGCATCCAGGGACATGGGGGAAGACGAAGGCGAAGGCGAAGGGAGAGGAGACCTAACAGTGCAAAGAGGCGGCGGAGGAGGGTTGCCGTGATTGGGATGGTGTGGCATCATCTTCGTCACCATTGATCATCGTCGAATCGAACGTCGTTGGGAACTTGGGGAGGTTTTTGTGACGGCGGAGTGAAGGACTCGCTCACTGACTCGCTCACTCGCTATCTGCCGTTGCGTCACGTTACGTAGGTACACGTATATATAGAAACCTTCTCATTGCAAATTGAGAAGGTTTTTTGTTCCGGATTAAAAAAAAATATAAATAAATTAATTAATTTACGAGGCCTTTTAATACACAAATTTGGGAAAAGCTTGAATCATCCCAAACTTTTGGCCAAAATTTTCCTCTCGCACTACAAACTTCTCCTCATTCGTCTAGTACGTTCATTTCATCTATTGAAAAATAAAATTGTTCTCCTTTTCTTGCGATGCTCAAGCTCCATCTCAGCCTCCTCAATCATTTTCGGCATGAATCAACACTAAATTAGTGCCAACGGTCTCTTCCCCACTGCTCCTACTCGGACGGACGAGTAGATAGATCTTCCACCATCCGCACCTCTCATTCATCTTCTGGTAAACTTGTTTCTTTTGGTAAGTTTGTTTACAATTATAGCGTGTTGTTTGTGTTTCGACGATGCCTTAGCTTTCTTTTGAATTATATTTCTTATGTTTTATCTTGTTTTGTGAAAAGTCGCTTCCTGATTGTTGAGGATTTTTGAGTTCTGATTACGATGATAAGTTGAGTTCCTTCGCGATTCAACTCGACCATTTCTTGAACTAATTATGTGGAGATATTTCTAATTTGTATGTTGTGGTGTTGTGTGTTCATTTGATTTACCGAAATGTGCTTATTAGAAAAAATCCATTTTTAGTTACACACACTTAATCATTTCTTTTCTATAATAGTTAACATAAATGATTGATAAAGTTGACAATCGTGGACTAGATGAGCTAAATGAAATAGTTGATCTTACTGACTCAAGCAATAAGTCTCAACCGTCATTTCCTAACGCAACTACATTAGGGCATTGTAGCCAGAACTTGCCACCACAAGGACCTGTGCCAAATCAGTTTTATTTGAGCTTCAGTTGTCCTATCACACCTATGCCTTGCTATCCACAATCAAGTGACCCTATGTTCTACCAAAGCATATGAAATTTCTTATCATGTAGTGTACAATCTCAATTTCCATATCATGATGCTAAATTATCCCAGGAAAATGCATCACCTTTCCTACTTTCGTCCCCCAACCCATAGTCAAGCTCTCTCGCGTATACAACATGTAGGTAAGTCACTTGAGGTGAATCAACGTGTAAAAATTGGACTAGAGAGGAGGATCTAGAGTTGACTAGAGCTTGGTGCAACGTGACTACCGATGCATGCGTTGGAGTAGGTCAAAAAAACAAATGTTTTGGGAGCGTATATGCGAGACCTTCATTGTCCTTATAGAAGAAAAATATGGGATTAGTAGGATTGAAATTAAAAAAACACCTGGTGAATATGAAAACCGGTGGATGGAGATCAGATCTCATTGCAATAAATGGTCTGCGATAAGAGTGTAGGCACAGCCTCAATATCGTAGTGCATGTAGTCCATCAAACTTTGTAAGTGTATCCTCCATCTATTCAAATCAATTATTTTATTTTGTTTAGTAAATTCATTATGCTAACAACAACCATCTGACATAAACAATATTGTCAAGTTACATATCTCGAAAAACACAAATTAACATTAAAGTGCGAGCCTTGTTGGAAAATATTAAAGGATCAGCCAAAATAGATGAAATTTGTTGGAGTAAAAAGGTCAAAACATCTGAGCGATCATCTGAGATTGACAAAAAAATTGTCAGAGAAGTTCCTGTGTCCCATAATCTTGATGTACAATCCTCCATGACCCCAATAGATTCCAGTACTATTGCAGTTCGAATCGTTATAGATTCTAACGGTAAAGGGCCAATTTTTTCAGATGTAGGTGGTCTGTTGCGATTGACGTTGAACATCCAATTGGTGTTAAACAAGCAAAGACAATTAGTAGGCAATTGCGATATGTTTCATCATAAAATTTCTGCATACTAATTTTGTTCTTTCATAGGGATAGAAGCCGCCCTTCTTGCTCTAGAAGATGCAATTGCGATCGATCCGGTACTAGTCGGTGCAGGGTTAGACCCTGTGATAGTAGAAAATGTCTATTTAGTGAAGACGACGACGAAAAAGGTAATCTATGGAGTTGGAAACCTCCGACCCATATAAATGTGTATAAAAATGACGGATATGGCTGCATAGATCTATTTATGGCTGAATACTTGAATTCAAATTTAATTTTCATGGTATGTGTTTCATGGCTGAATACAACCCTTCAAATTTATTTTTTCTATTCTTGATATTGATTGAAATTTGGTTGATGAATTTGTGTAGGTAATGACTAATTAAGGTCTGTCATTGTGACTTCTTCATCAATGAAAATCATTTTTTAGATTTTGGGATGGTTTTATGTATTGAACTTGATAACAACATTTATAATCCACTATATAAAGTTTAACTACACGCGTATTGTCGTAATTTTGTTTGTTATGCCTCATTTACTGTTTTGGATTTGCAGCGTGCTAGTGTTGATGTGTGGTCTCTATTTGTATGCTAAGCATGTTGCATCAAACTGTGTTGCGTAATAGATATATGGTTTTGTATTTTTGAAAGCCTCAATTTTATGGTGATCATATATATATATATATATTGTGTGGATAAGAGAATAATGATCAACACATGGAGTTTGCTTTCGGCAAATTGTAAATTAGTTTGTTCAGTTATTTTTATAGCTAGATATTGCTCACTTCTAGTTTAATATGGGCATTGAAATTTTGCCTTGATCTTCTATTTTGGACGTGTTATTTATTTTTATTTTTTTACTTTTGGAAATATGATTATCTTACATGGTGTTTATAATAGAGTTTCACTTGTCTCTTCATTTACTGAGCTATCTTTTCTTCCAATTGTTTTAAGATCTAGGTTTCATTTACAATAGTTTATTTTTTATTAATGGACAACAAAGGCTATATGGATTTGATAAACATGACACAATTTAGATAATAAAAAATTGATCAATCTGATTTGACTGATGTTGCTACACGAGATGTTGTTTATAATTTGTTGGTTGATAGGCAGGAATCTTTTGTACCATGATTATAGAGTATAATGGTAATAAAGATTAACACAAAGAATTGCAATAGAAATTTCAACAGAAATTAATATCATAATACTGCACCGATTTGAATGATTTCTCATGGCTTCCAGAATAACTACAAACATAACATAATGTGTGTGACCACTAAACACTATAACAAACAATTTCGGATCCATTTTCATGTTTTGTATGCAAATATAAAACAACATAAAGACAAAATATAAAAGAACATAAACACATGACACACACTCAAATTTACTAGGACAATGATTCAATATAAAACAAGCAAAACTTATCTCATTCAATTGATATGAATATTTAGTGCACTTGAATGCCAACAACATATATGAAAAAGGAATGTAATATGGCCTAAACATTCCAATCAAGAATGATAAATAGTGAGAATAGATTATGTATTCTTAACGCATGCATACTCATATCATTGCTTGCTACCCCAAACATGATCTTATCATCAGAAACATCTAATAGTATAATAAAAAAATATATATATTTGAACCCGAAGCCTAAGAAAATAAATTTAGATAGACCGAAATATAGTCATAATGCACATAGTTGCATGCATGAATATAATGCACTCTAGGACATGAAAAAATTAAATTAAATGCATGTATTTTGCATGCATGGAACAAATTTGCATATATTATTATATATGCATAAAATTCAAATATTTTTGAATAATAGATTAAATGCATGTTAATGCATTTAATGCATGCAAATTAAGGGAATTCAAACCAATTTGAATTGGTCCGCGTCGGTTTTACCTTAAGCAATCAATTCAAAATTTAATTTTGGTTTTGAATGAATTAAAGTCTCCCCACTTGTACATGCCTATATAAAGGCCTTGGCTCTTTCATTTAGATACACAACAAACCATTCTTTCTCCCATTCTCTCTAATATATATATATATAAATTTTATTTGTTTCCGGTGATTTTTCCGGTGAGATTCCGATCAATATTCCGGCCTTTTACTTTCTATTTAAACCTTCCGACATAGTAAAAGTTCGCCTCATTTTAGTTCGTCGGAGCTCCGAAATATTGGGGTGCCAGCTAATTCGGAGACGAAAGTCGTTTCATCTTTAGGAACGTTGCGCCAAGAATCGGAGGCACTACCGGGGCGTATTGGTTTTTACGGAGAAAGGTCCTATCTCGACTCGACGTGATTATCGAATTATTTCGATAAAATTATCGTGATTATCAAATTTATTTTGATAAATTTATTATCGAATTTATTTCAATAAAATTCCTGTGATATCGAATTTATTTCGATAAGTATATTCTTGCAATATAACATTATTATTATTATTATTATAATTATTATTATTATTATTATTCTAACAGTTTTCGCCACCATAAGCCATCCATTGATGATTAATAAGGCCTTCTTGCAATTTTTAATCTACCTCTATCGAAGATTGGTCGATTTAGAGATTGCCCGAGATCTGCCGATTATTGCAATCTCCACAAGCTATAGACTTTCTGCGCCATTTGTCCAATTTGGCCAATTTTTGTGTATTTTTGTACATAACAACTACAACTACAACAACAATAGAAATAATAATAAAAACTACAAAAAAAAAAAAAAAAAAAAAAACTACCAAGAAGCGCCATTGGATTGCTCGATGTTTAAATCTATACAAAATCTAGAGATTGCCCGATTGACCTTGAAGAGTTCCTGCCCGATTGACCTTGAAGAGTTCCTGCGCATGCATTATTTGTCCAAATTGACGAATTTTTGTATATAATAATAATAATAATAATCCACTAAGGAGTCGAAGATTGTCCAATTTCTCTCTAGTTGCTGGATCGGTTTGAGGACTATCGATTTGAAGATTGACCGATTTTGAGATTGCTCGAGATTAACCTATTATTGCAATCCCCACAATTTGGAGAGTTATTGCAGGATGTGCAATATGCCAAATTTGAGCAATTTTCATATATTTTTGTATCGATTGCTTTTAATAATGATTATGAAAAATTCAAAATATATGTAT